TTTATCCAATAATATCCTTGAGATTGTGATGATTGTGGGCGGGAGAAGTTGATGCACGCTCTCGAAGAATAGCGTGGAACTCTCGCCTCATGGTTTCTAAGAGCTCGAACAGAAAATAAGAGGGTGCCGCTAAAGGTTACACTCGAGCAGAGATTGATTGGTGTCCTTACACCAACTATTATTAATATATGTACATGTACATGTACATGTGATCGATGCTGTGCGGTGCGCGTGTATCCAATTTAGAAACACATCATCTGCTTTTCACCTTGTCGCAAGTTGCGACTTGGCAAAGGCGACAAACGACAGCCTGGCTTACGGCTGTAATGTACGCGCGTTTACCAACACCACTTGCTTGGCAAATCGAACGATAACATTGAGCCGGGACGGTCTCATCGTTTTATTGAGAATTTCTTAGTTAATATGCATAATAGTAACGTAGGCTCTATGCATTTGACCAGGTTTGCAACCTGCTTGAAAAGTGTGATGGGCAGAAATGCAAGTCGTGGGAAAAGTGGCTTTTTCTTGCAAATCGCCAAATGCCGTAGCCTAAAATTAAAAATGGAGTGTCTCCACACAGCCTTAAATTAGATCTCACAAGAACGGGCCATTTGCACGATGGTTGGTAAAACTGGTAACTTGGCCGGGAAATGGTGTACATGTACATGTATCTGTCCTTTGCCCTTAAGTCACTTAATATAAAGCTAATCTGCCTCAAAACATACCGGTATAAGTCATTATTTAGTAATCCGGGGTTACTGTTCCTTAGCTTGGTTTCTTAGAAGCGTTGAATCTCGAAGTAGCTGTTGAGCAGTACATGTACCAGTATTGTGCTGCAAATGAAATATCGCTTCGTTTTAAGGGCTAGATAGGGCTAATACTATTAGCCCTATCTAGCCCTTATTAGTAATAGATCGGGTACGAGAAGCCAACAAATGCTCGTGGTTGGATTATGTACGACAAATCGACATTGATCTCCGTCGGAGAAAATACCCCTTTTGCGTTTTACAAATCGACATCGATCTCCGTCGGAGAAAAGACCTCTTTTGCGTTTTTAAAATGCATACCGGTACCGTTATTGAGGGCGTGTATTTTAAGAGATAATACCTGGTCTACGCCATTTCCCGGCCAAGTTGCCAACCATCGTGCAAATAGATCTAATTTAAGGCTGTGTGGAGTCACATCATTTTTATTTTTAGGCTACGGTATTTGGCGATTTGCATGAATAGGCCGCTTTTCCCACGACTTGCATTTCTGCCTGCCCATCACACTTTTCGAGCAGGTTGCAAACCTGGTCAAATACATAGAGCCTACATTTCCGCACAGTGGATACCGTTATCGAGGGCGTCTATTTAACTGGTCTACTTTTTCGCCCTCGTTAAAGCACATTTAATGACAACAACACGATTGGGGGATAAATGTGCTGTAAGGCTTAAAGCTTTTTAAATTCGGTTAAGTACGTATTTAACAGCAGCCTTTCATTTCCAGTTATCGAGCAGACGAGGCGACCAAGGAGACATCATAGGACACTGTTGCAAGACAGCTCTTAGAGTCTGTACAAGGCCACCACTCTTCAGCAATGGGAACAATTGTTGAAGAAAGTGATTCTGAGTGGGTGGACGAAAGCAGCATCAGTGACATCAGTGAAACTACTTCTCTGTCTCCTTCTCTTTCAATGCGCCCTATTAACGCTGTTGGTACGATTCATTCACTAGATCATCTTTAAAACGTGTATTGACACTTATTCTCTTTTACTCTAGCCAACAAGCGTACACATACGCACGATTGTGCCAATTTCTCGAAGAGAAGGCGCACCGGTATTTGTGATGCTGACATTTACCTTTTGTTATCTAGATGTTAAAGACTTCTAACGTTTGTGTACTATGCAGATAGAACTAGCTTGAGCACAACGTCAGCATGCTAAGACCCTAATGCAAATGACCGCGTTCCTCGTGAACGTAAAGGCTCCTCCTGGAAAGCCAGAGTTGAAGTGACCACAAATGCTCGCGAAATTGTAATGTCATAAATTTAGAGATTTCACGATAAATGTGCGCTAAGTTATAGCACATTTATGAGTAACCGAGCATGATAAATGTGCTTTAGCGCGTTAAATGTGCCGTAAGACTGTTGTGTTGTTGTCATTAAATGTGCTCTAACGAGAGTCCTACTTTTTCGTGTTACATGTATTACATGTATCTCTGGTTTTACACCTGTTTTTAGCAAGCTGACGAATGTTTTCTTTTGTCGTTTTACAAAAAGCTGCAAATCACAATCTATGAAGGTCAATTACATGACTTTATTTAGTCTTTTTAAAGGAATTTTTTCGAAAGCTATCAATAGTTGAATTACATGTAGTCTTTACATGCGCAGTAGTTTTCAATTAGGTAGCTCCTCAATCTCAGTACATCACGCAAGCGTCCCACAAATGATGAGCACGCTTCTTGAGTTTTTTTTTGGAGGAGAATAACCTCAAGAGTAATGCTCTTGAGGTTTTTCGATTCCACCTCACTATCAACTTTAGCAGGGGAGCGCGAAAATATTGCTCGTCGTGCTCATTATTAACCGATCCTATTGGCTAAAAAGATGCTACTGAAATATTTCATGACGCAGAAGAAAATATCCCCCTGATCAACAAGATGGTGTTAACCCGAGCGCAGGTCAGAGCACAAGCGACGGCGCAGCAACAAGAGATTCCTGAAGCGGCCATTGTCGTTGTAGACCATAGCGACGAGACCGCAGTGGCTGAGGTGGTGGCAGAACGATCTACCGTCGAGCTTGTCCCGCATGTTCAAGACTATTTGGCTAAGCTAGCAGAGTATTTTCTTACTCAAACACAGGCCCTCGCTGAAGGGCACACATTTATGCAGATCCAGCTCGAAGGCCAAGGCGAAGCCCAAAGTTCCGCTCTGCTTGCTGTTCGAGAATCCACAGATGCAGGCATTAAACAGCTAGCCAATCAACAACTGGCAATCGCAGGCCGATTTCATGAAGAGCTGATGGCGACACACGCTGGTATTCGCGAGCAATTCTTGCGGCTAGAAACAATGCAAGCTAACGTCGGAGAGGAGATAGAAAGATCTGTGGCGGAGAAGCTATTTCGTGCTCTTCGGGAGGCCCATAGCGAGTCGCAGTCGATGATTGCCGCTCAGGTAGACGGTGTCGCTCGAGTGGAGCAGCAGGTTGACGCGAAAATTGGCAGTGGCTTCCAGGTCCTTACCTCACACATCCACCAACTTGTCGAGGAGAAGATAGCAGCGCACCAAGCGAGAACTATAGAAATGACAACCGAACTGGCGCAGCAGCTTGTAAGAAAATCTACAACACAGATGAAGGACCACCTTGAGAGATCGTTCGAGCTGGGCTTTAAGTTGGCGCGTGATGATTTGAAACAGGAGCTTACTTCAAACACGATCACTTCAGATGGAACTTCGCATGACGCTGTCAAGAGCTTCGTGCTGGAAGAAATTGAGAAATCAAAGCGCCACTTCGAAGCTCAAGTGCAGCAAGCTTTAATATCTACTCAATCTGATCTTAACCTTCAAGCTCAACGTCAAGCCGATGCGGTCTCAATTCTACGAGAAAAATTACAGCAGCATTGCGATCGTGTACCTGAAATACGTGATATGGTAGATGAAGCTGAGGCCTGCAACACAATAAAAGAGCTTGTGAAAAAAGAAGTGGAGAAGCGTATGGAACTTGTGCAGCGCCAACTTCTGACTGCCCATCCACAAACAGGAAGGTGTACGGAAATTAGCGATATCAAGGTGGAGCATGACGTGGCTGGGGAGGTCGGCCAACGTCTTACCGAGGTACGGATAGACGATATTTCCGAGCAGACAAAGCAGACGGTGGAGAATAGCGTGAAGCTGATACACGATCTCGTTCGCGAGGCCATCCGCCGTTACGCTTGTGTGAGCGGCGATACTGGAGATGGATCGGGTGACGTTGGAGGTGAAGACGACGAAGATTTATCCAAAGAAAATCGCAGTATCCAGCAGCGAATGCGAGATG